ACAGATGCTCACCTCACACCTCCCCGCTCCATCCCTTGACACAGAAAATGCACGTCCTTCTCCTTGAGGGGCTAGATGTCTACGTGCGGGGATTTCCCCAGCGAGGAACGTTCCCTCTTGGGCAAGGCAGCCTTGCGTCCAGCTGTTGCAGAGAGCAGCGCTCTGAGGGGCTGCTGGAGGACAGTCCCCTGAGCCGGCACACTGTTTGGGGGAGCGGACAAAGGACAGCAGGGAGCTTCAGCCTTGCCCCCTGCCACCATCAGCTGCTTTTTACAATCCACCTGATTGTGATTTATGCTTTTTTTTATGCTCATGCCCCATCCTTTTTCCTTTCAAGGAACCCGAGGAGCCCTACTGATATCTCCTCCTCTCTGTCCTATCCTCACAACAACCCTGTGAGGTGGGCTGGGCTGAGAGCCTGTGACTGGCCGCAGAGCACCCAGTGGTTGTGCGGGGACCAGAGCCCAGACTGCCCGAGTCCCAGTCCTGCTCTCTTCACCTCTGTAGGCGCTCTGTGATCAGTGCAGCCCCCTGGAAGCCCACCGTGAGGGAAGGACATGGAGTAAAAGGGGGCAGAAGGGGAAAAGAGAATGGCAGAAGAATGAAGGTGTGGCCACCCCACTTTCACCTGTAACCTGGTGGGGGGGGGGGCGGGGATACCAAGGCCTGTGTCTGGAGCAGCCTTTAGGTCCGTGTCCATGCCTGGTGCTCTGAGGCCATGAAGCTATTTGGAGAATGGACTTCGGCACCATCATGGAATCGCTCCAATAAAGCTCAAAATAAAAGCTGCAGTGCATCAGGAGCTCCACAGTCCTGGGACTTGCTGCCCTGTCCATCCACACACGCAGGCAGGCCCATGTCACTGAGAAAGGAAAGCTGCCTGCCCCTGCTTGCTTTGGAGGGCTGTGCAGTCAAGGCCAGTGTAGAGAGCCAGACGCAGGGAGGGAGACTGGGCTGGGGGTGCCCATCAGCGGCTCCAGGACAGCAGACCAGCTCTGCAAAGCGCCCCCTGGCCATGGTCTTGGAGATGATGCACAGCACTCACGTTCTCTAAACATCCATCTCTGAGCTTTTGCCATTTTTAAGATTCATATGTTATTGCTTTCGGGTTTAAATTTTTTTAACTGCCGTGTATCACCTTGATGCCCTTTTTAGCAAATGAGGCGATGTTGCAATTTGAACATTTTTTTAAATAATCAAATATGGCTCAGCCAACCATGGATCTGACCCATCCCAGAGAGCGCGCGCGCGCGTGCACACACACACACACACACACACACACACACACACAGGAGCAATGTCAGCAAAACCTTGGATGGGCTTTTTGGCAGTCGTAAACTCGGCATATCAACGGCCCAGCTTCCTCCTCCCACTTTCCATGGGCGCAGGGGACACTGCCATTCGCCTGCGCTGGTCCAGCTATGCAGAACTGTGCCTCTGCTCTCCTCTTGAGAGCAGATAGCAGGTTTCATCCTTTCTCCTACGTTCCCAGGAATTCTTCCTCGGCTCCCTCTCCTGATTAGTTCCAGATGCAACAGCTCACTTCTGTCTAAATTAGATACTTTACACTTGGCAGACAATGCCAACCAGCCCCCCCACCTGCTCAGCCGCTCGCCCTCTTTGCAAAGCATCCCCCCCCCCCCCTTCCCATGCATCTGCCTTCCTCGCTTTCCCCAAGGTGTTGGAATCACACTAAACACCCCGCTGTGCTGGCAAATAGAGTTGTGCTCGCGCGTCTTTCCACGAAACCTTGGCACCCATGGATTCGGAAATGGCAGTCAGCAGTGCTCTCCAAGAAAAGCAAGAGGAGGGGGGAAATTGCCCAATCCTGCACTGTCCAGGCCAATTTTCGCAGTCCTCTCACCAAGAAATGCTGCAAATTGATTTATCCTGGGGTGGGGAGTCCTTTTTCTGTGGAAGACTCATTCCTCCTGGGGGATTCTGTGACGGCAAATTCTGGCAGTGTGGAAGGAGTAAGAACTCAGAGGGGCTAAGGCCTAGGGGAGAAATCCACAACAGACTCAAACGAGTTTGGGTTTTGGTGCAATCAGAAGTGGCTTCAGTCACATGGCCTTGCCACCCATCCTGTTTTGGCCTTGTGGCACGGGGAGCGGTTTGTCCAAGAGAGCCTTTGCACAAGCTCACATGCTCAACTACAGCCACGGGCTTGAGAAATTGCACATTTTGCCTGCTCTTGTTTGCATTAGGAGCTGGAACAGGACAAGTTTGCATGGCTTGACAGTAAGAACCACGCTCTTGTATGTCCTTGAAAGCATCTGGTTTCTTCACGGAGCAGACAATGCTATGAAATATGCCTCACAAGCTATGGAACACACAAGTGGATTGAACAAAGCCAGTCTGCTTTTGGGGATTCACCTCCTTTCCCTCACTCCTTCTGCCCTTTCTCTCTCTCTCTCCCCACTGACACTTTACTCCTAACTCAGCTAGACTGACTGCCAGGGAGGGACAAATCAGTCTCGCCAGAAATTTGAACTGACCTCAGAGACCTTTTGAAATTTGCTCAGGAGGGGTGCGGGTGGCCCAAGCCCTGTGTTACGTGGCCATCCTTGGTCAGAGAGCAGCCTGCATCGCTTGGTAAGATCACCACCTTCCTTTTCTCTTGTCTCACTGACTTTGCTCTACCTTCATCCTCCTCCAATGTAAGGGCATTTCTCTTTCTAGTATTTTCTTGGCCATGTATACCCACAGCCAGCCTAGCGAGGACTGAGCCTGCTCCGTGAGCGTGTGCCCCTTGTCTGTCGCAAGGGAGAAAGTGGGAAAGCAAGGCGGAATGCAACGGAATGGCATATACTGAAGGGGGGTCTGGCTGGCACTCCAAACTGGCGCACCCTGCACTGCAACATTTTGTTTGATTTCTCACTCATCCACAAGAGAGACATTTTGTATTTCTTGAAAAGCCCCAAACTAGATATCTTTACCAGCTTAAAATTGGTATGTACAAGAACTAAGGATAAACACCCCTGGGAATTATGTTTAAAGTTTGCAAAATCAGGGCTTAAAGGCTGCAAACCTGCACACTGTTGCTTGGGAAGGATCATTCAGTGAAAAGTCAACGAATGCTGAGCATAGGAAGCTGCTTATCTTGAGTCATGCCAACCCATGGAGCTCAAGTGGGTCAATGGACTGACTCATCACATGGCAGCTTCCAGAGTTTCCAAGAGAACACATGCGTCACACGCAGAATCTCCCTGGTTCAATGCCTGGAATTTCCAGTAAGGGCTGGGAGGGACCCCTGAAAGCTGCCTGGTCTGGAGAGCCGAAGCCAGTTGTGTAGGTAAGAGGGGGGCAGAAGGTGAGCCAGAGGAAAGTCAGTGTGTTGTTTGTTGTTGTTAGTCGTGAAGTCGCGTCCGACTCATCACGACCCCATGGACAACATTTCTCCCAGCCTTCCTGTCCTCCACCATCTCTCAGAGTCCACTCAAGCTTACACTGACTGCTTCAGTGACTCCATCCAGCCACCTCATCATCTGCTGTCCCCTTCTTCTTTTGCCCTCTATTGTTCCCAGCATTAGGCTCTTCTCCAGGGAGTCCTTCCTTCTCATTAGGTGGCCAAAGTATTTGAGTTCCATCTTCAGGATCTGGCCTTCTAAAGAGCAGTCAGGGTTGATCTCCTCTAGGACTGACTGGTTTGATCACCTTGTGATCCAAGGGACTCTCAGGAGTCTCCTCCAGCACCACAATTCAGAGGCCTCAATAGTGGTTTGGAAATGCTGGAATGGGACGCTGGAGATCTGGGTTCCAGTTGTCCCTTGGCCATGAAGCACACGGCATGACCTTGGGCCAGTCTCAGCCTGACCTACCTCACAAGGCTGCTGTGAGCGTAAAATGAAGCGGATTGTGTCGGGGTCCCGGTCTTGGGGTTGCCATCTGGCCAAAGGACACAACACAGGCTGCTTCTGTGCCTTCGGCAGCAGCCTTGTCTGCGGCAGTCAGCAGTCTTTCATGACAAGGTGCAAAAGAGCAGGAGGGGCTGAAAATGTTGGCAGACCCAGAAATGCTGATTGGTAGGGCTGTTTTTCCAGGACTCACTGGAGAAGAGCCTAATGCTGGGAACGATTGAAGGCAAAAGAAGGAGGGGACGGCAGAGGTTGAGGTGGCTGGGTGACTGAAGCAGTCGGCGTGAGCTTAGGTGGACTCCAGGGATGGTGGAGGACAGGAAGGCCTGGAGGAATGTTGTCCAAGGGGTCATGATGGGTTGGACATGACTTCGTGACTAACATAATACAGTTCAACAGGTGAGCCCGCCCCCCCCCCCCCCCCCCCGTAATCTGCATGCACAGGGAAAGAAAAGCCCAGCTCCGCAATCACTGTATGCTGTGAAACGGTTAGATGTTATAGAAGCTTTTCCAAAAATTAAACACACACTGGCAATTTCATTAATTGTCTCAGTCTGTGAGCATTTCCATTGCCACTAAACTGTGGACTTAGTTGCTATTTTCTTCAAAAATGGGGTGCAGAATTTGGCACCTATTAAAACACACCTATTAAATTAATTGGCTTCCTTCACCTGAGATTTGAGCTGAGGAGTGGCAGATCAGTATTTCAGATGGGGGGGTGGGTTAATAGGGTTCCCCTCCAAGATGGGTAACCCAGTGCATTCAATGCAGCATCTCAACTTTGTCCCAGAAGGGGGAGCGGCCCTTGAGGCGTCCCCTGTCACATTTTGGCGAGAAAGGTAACCGACGCAGCGATCTTGCTTTCCCTTGATCAAAACTGGTCCAGCAGTGCTGCATCCATACTTGCTGGAGTGCGAGGATGGTGGGACTTGTAGTCTGACGGGCCCTGGCTCGGGGAAGTTGCCCGAAAGGGCCGTTCTGGACTTTCTGGCTACGGTGACCGCAGGGTTCCTTCCCCGCTCCCCTGGACAACGGAAAGGTATTTCCTTCCTTCTTTCACTGGACGCTCGCTCGATTCTTCCCAGCCTCCCACCCCCTCCAGGAAGGGGGCGGCTCAGACGGGCGACGTGCGCGGACGGATTGGCGAAGAAGCCGGCTGCTTGGAGACCCGTGTCCGGGTGAGCCGGGAAGGAACCAGGCGAGCGGAGGTGGGAGCGCGCGGCGGGGGCGCGGAGGGGCTGACCGACTAGGAGGCGAAAGGCTGGACGGGGACGGGTGGAGGGAATCCGGGGCAGGACGCGCGCGGAGGGAGCCTAGACGGAGAAGAGGCGGGCGGGCGGCGGGCCACCCACGGGACTAAGAGGCGGCGGCGGCGGGAGCGGGAAAAGCCGCGGGGCCGGCGCGGGAAGCCTGGCTGGCCATGGGCGCCGGGGGCGGAAACGGAGAATGGGGAGAATCTGGGAGGGGGCTCGGTGGCGGCGCCGCGCCCGGCAACCCCAGGGCGGCGGCGGGGCTCTGGACTGCCCCTTGGGGGGGACGGGGCCGATGCTTAGGAGCCTCGCTGCCGAACGCGGCGAGTTGCGTGGAGGGCGCGCACGGGTGGGGAGGCACTGCGAGCCAGCAGCGATCCGCCAGAGTAGCGAGCGGGGCCGGGCGAGTCTTCGGGGTGGCGGAGCCCCTCGAGGAAAGAAGGCGGGCTCTGCGGCCCTCCCCCGCCACCCCCCCCCCCGTCCCGGGCCAGGGCTGCCTGCCTAGGCGAGCACGTGGCCGGTCCCTTTCCTAACCCGGAGGACGGCGAGCGCGCCCTCGGCCGCTTCCCAGCGAGAGCCCTCGGCTCTGGCCCCGTCCCTCCGCCGCTGGCCCCCCGCCCCCGGGTCTCCCCGACCGGATCAGCCGCCCGCGCTCCGACGGAGGCGCTGCCAGCCCAGGCTGTCTGCTCGCTGCCTGCCTGGCTCCAGGCCCCGTGGAAAATTTGCGTCCCTGGAGCCAGGCTCTGCGGCGGGCGTGGCGCGCCGCCTCCCTCGCTCGCCCGCGCTGCCCATCCATCCGCCCGCCCGGCCCTCCCCGCCCCGCCCCGCCCCGCCCCGCCCGAGCCATTGTTCGCTGGCAGCGGCGGGGCAGGTGCGAGCCGGCCTGGGCTGCGGGACCGCGCAGGCGGCGCGTCCGGTGGCGGGGCAGCCCGGAGATCAGCGCCCCCCGCGCTCGGACGTTGCCGCGGCGCAGCTCCCGCCGCCCTCCCCGCCTTCGCCGGTTGCCGCTCGCCCGCCACGCCCTTTGAACTCCCGCTGGGTAGGGAGCCGTGCAGCCCGAGTCACACACTGAGGAAGAGGCGCTCGGCACGTGCGCAGAGGCACTCCCCGCTCCTCTCACTTGGGAGGGCAACCCGGGCCACGCCAGGGGTTTGAGGGGCAGTGCTGCAGATCAAACTGCAGAGGGACCCTGCAACGGAAAATGGGACTTGGGGTTTGCTGCGTTTGATGGCAGCCACACGGAGGGAGAAAGGTGCCCCCTGTGTGGCCTGGGGAGGGTTTGGCGCCTGAGATGAGAAGAGGTGGATTTGAGGAGGGGCGAGCCTCAGGCCCTCTCGTGACAGCAGAATTTAGCATGTGAAGCAGCAGTGTCTTTGAGTATGTGCAGAGTGCCTTTCATTCTTTATTAGCAAGCTAGCCCTGCAGTAGGAGGAAATCTGTGCAAGAGAATCCCCAGTGCCGCATTTCCTGCTTAACTCCATCACAGTGGCGGTGGGTGTAAAGCTGAGGGGCTGTGGGGGGGGGGCACCTCCTTGGCTTGTGTGCGCTCCTGATCTAATCCCAAGCAGGATGTGCTGAACCTCGAGGGTGGTCCTAAGAATAGCAGCCACAGTGGGAAGTGAGCCCCTGTCCCCATCACACACAGATTGGCGAGGACGGCAGGAATGCTTCCTGGAGGTGCGGTTTGGAACCCTGCCTGCCAGAGGAACTCATGGGAGCTTTCTTTGTAAGCCGGAACCTGGGCTAGAGGTTCTACATGCCTGTTTCTGGAAGGGAGTTTTGCAGCCGGCCAGCAGCGGCTGCGGCTGGTAGGTGGGATGCAGATGATCAGGGACAGCTTCATACTGGTTCGGACTACAGGTCCATCTACCCAGTATCATTCACTGCAACCCAGAAAGGCTTGCCCTAGCAATATCTGGCTCTTGAAAGCCTTCAAAGTACTGCATGCAAATGTACTACCGTGGTCCAGATTTCCGTAACACGCACTGGTGCACCCCCGCCACCCTCGACACCCACACATAGGTGGGTTCTGCTTTTGGCTCTGAGGCTGAACCAGATCTCTGTCTATCATGGACTTCAGTCAAGGCAGCTGTATGCGAAACATGAATAGATTTATCATTGTCAGAACCCGTTAGTAGTTGCACTATAAATGCCCTGCCTTTTGGGCCAAGATCAAGTGTGACGGCTGTTCATTGGTGCCTCTGTGCTCCAGAGGAGCGGGGGGGGGGGGGGCAGAGATGGCTTTCCTGGCATGTTACAGAAATACCCCCAGGGGCTTTCAAATTGGGCTCCCCTGGCCAGCCATGCCACAGCCCTGCAGCTGATTCCACCCAGAAGGGAGGGGCTCTCCACTGATGCACAAAGCCCTCAAACCTGCGCAGCATTGTCCCAGCAAGAAACGGATTTTGGAAAGGGAGTCCTTCCATCTCTCTATTGTTTATTTATTTATATTTCCATCCCAGCTTTCTGTCCAGAAATGTTGCTTCAGGCAGTTAAACCGGGTCTGCAAATGCAATGTTTATTAAAATAGGGCATAAAAAACAAGCAAGTTAAAAGTGCCTAAGCAAGATGTTCCGGATCCGGGGAGGGGCCCAGAAAGGCTCTCTCTCGTATCCTCATCAAAAGTGCCTCAGTGGTACTGAGGGAAGGGCCTCCACTGAAGAGCTTAAAACTGGGCCAGAAGGCATTTTTCTGGGTAACTCAGTCCCAAGCCACAGAGGGCATTGCAGGCCCTAACCTGCACTTTCATTTGTGCCTGGCGACAGATAACTTAGAGGGCTTGCTGTAAGAAGGGATCCTCGGGGTCCCAGTCCGTGGTCAGCAGCCCAGCCACAGCAGTCTGGATGCTAACGTCGTGCCCTCCTCAGCGTCGCATAGTTAGAACAATACACAGGGTAAAGTGTTCATTATGGGGAGCAGGAGAGCCCACGCCTCAGCTGTGATGCCCCCTGGAAGCGCTAGGGCAAGCTGTGCTGTCGACATCAGCCCTACTTTGCAGGATTGTTGTGAGAGTGATGGAGCGGAGAATTGGAAAAGCAGGGTCTCCTTAAGCGCTTTTTACATCCTCCAGGAGAAATGCTTCTCTGCAGCTTGCAAGTGGGACCTGCCTGAGCACAGGAGAAGAGCAAGTGAGCAAGCGAGCCCATCAGGACCCTTGCTCGCAGAGGTGCAGTTCATGGTGCGCCCTCCGTGCCCAGCTGTAGGTTCTTGGCAGCTGAACGGGAGCTGAGAGAAGAATTGCTGCAAGGTGGAGCAAAACCTCTGCGGCTTTGTGTCTTTGGGGGCCCATGGATGATTGATTTGCGTTTATTTATTTATTTGAACCCTTTCTATGCCGCCCCATTCGCAAAAAGCCTCGGGTCGGCTTACAGCATTAATAAACCAACATAAATAAGCAGTTATATAATTAGACTTAAAAAACTGGAAACATCTCGGCACGTACATAAAAACCCAATAAATACAGTTCATAAATTAACAATTAAAATAACTTTTAAATAAAGAGGTCTTGGCCTGGCGACGAAAAACAAATAACGACGGCGCCAGGCGAACCTCTCTGGGGAGCATGTTCCATAGGTGGGGCGCCACCGCAGAGAAGGCCCTCCTCTGGGTACTCACCCTCCTAATATCTTTCACGGAGGGTTCCTGGAGAAGGGTCTCTGCTGCCAATCTCAAGGGGCAGGAGGGCATATATGGACACAGGCGCTCCTTTAGATATCCAGGTCCCAAGCCGTTGAGGGCTTTATAGGTGATAACCAACACCTTGAATTGGGCCCAAACTTCAATGGGGAGCCAGTGAAGCTGACGGAGAACTGGAGTTATATGAGAACAACGCCCAGTCCCCGTCAGCAACCTGGCAGCTCTGTTTTGCACCAATTGAAGTATTTGTTAGATTAATGTATTATATTCATATTCTGCCTTTTCCTAGAAGAACCAAAAGTAGCACACTTGGTCCTCCTCGCCATCTTATCTTCACAGCAACCCTGTGAAGTAGGCTTGGCTGAGAGGCCCAGGCTGTTCTGAAGTCACCCCGTGAGCTTCACGGCCAAGTGGGGACTGGAGCCCTGTTCTCCCGGGTCCCCAGTCCAACACTGGCCGCTGCCCCAGGCTGGCCGAGTGCCAATTTAGTACTCCAGTCACGATCAGCAGAACTGACCTTACAAAGGGGAGGGGGAGGGGGAGGGCGAGGACCATTCCTGCAGCCCTGAGGTCCTTGGAGAAGGGGACGCAAGCCATCATTTCTGTTGTAGTCCAAAGGCAGTGCAAAGAAGTATGGATGAGCTCAACCATGGGGGCTTAAACCGAAAGCCCACCGTCTATGTAAGACTTTGGACAACTCTGAAGGAAGCCATGACTGGGATTTAAGCAGCTGCTTTCCTCTGGAGCAGAGCAAGAGTCAATCCAGAGTCAGACTGCTTGATCTAGCCTACGTGTGACCTTTGGGAACCAAGCTCTGTCTTAACATGGGAGATCCTTGAGCAGTTCCCCATGATTTTTAAAAATAATATGTTATTAATTTTCAATCTGAAATGCAACCAAACCAATACTACATCTAAAACAAAAACATATACAATTAAACATACAATTAAAATAATTCTTAAAAATACTGTGCCCCCTGCCACCAGGACCAAAAGTTGCATGTTTACAATTAAAAAAAACCCCCTCATTCGAACACTCTCCCCTTCCAAAACTGCAGTGATTCTTTTGACGGTTCAAATCCCTTTTTAGAAGACATACTCCATAAATACACCTCAAATGTCATGAAACCTATTTTTCTTTATATGCCCTCTTCTCACTGTATCATCATGGCCATATTCCAGACTTCTCTATACCAATCAAACTATTGGTAATGATAGTTTACTTTGCAGTTCTTCACGACGATTAACCTCGCAGCAATTATGGAACAGTTCCCCATGATTTTAACGTTGATTTCAGTGCAGCCTTTCCTAACACGCTGCGTGTGGGCAGAGGCTGCAGTGCGGAGGGGTCCTCCTGTCAGAGCCGAACCCCATGCCCAGGAATCTCTTGGGGGCGGCTTTCCAGAGGTGGGTGAGGCAGAAATGCCCACCTCATGTAGCTTCTGACAGCACGTAGGCCTTGGGTGGAGCCCTTCGGCCTTCTGGAAAGGGGAGGAAAGCATCACAAAAGCTGGGAGCGGAGAAAGGGGCATGGCCATCGGGAAACTCGGGGCGGGGGGGGGCTCTACACCTTAGCTGCTTCCCCAGTCTGTGCCTCTTTCTGTCTGCGCCCCAGCAGCTCCTCGTTCCTCCCCATTTCCACCCATTAAAGCCAACTCCTCAGCATCCTCGAGTCAGTAGGGGGGCTTGCGGGGCTCACGTGGCTGCCCCGCCCAGGCTCTCGCAGCCCTTCATTGCCCTCCCTGGCGTCCACTTGGGACTCCATCGAGCAAACATGGCAGCGCAGCCGTGTCAGCCTGTGAGCAGGCGACTGCATGCGAGAGGGCATGTGGAACACCTGCTCGAGCACGTCGCGGAGGCTTCCTGCTGAGCCGGGGGGGGGGTCTTTCCTGGCGGCATTGTCTGTACCAGCAACTGGGCAGGACAGACAGACAGACAGACAGACAGCCCAGGCTGGCAACTGGCGACCGCCACTTCCCTGGGGCACCAGCCTGAGAGGATGGAGACAGCCACGGCATCAGAAGTAATGAACCGCGATGGGGCTGTTGCTGCCACCACCACCCCCACCCCATTTCTGCTCCCCAAAACGGACACCTGTTGGGTCTCTTAGAGTGGCGGGTGGCCTTCTCAGGGCAACTCGGCTCCTCTGGCCCTCCCCTTCAACTCCGGCAAGTCATACTAGCAAGAAATCCCAGCTCTTGACTGGATGGAGCTTCCAGTTGGAAGCAGGCGGAATTTAGATGCCAGGCAGCAAGCACGCAAAATTACGGGCAGCGAGCTTTGCACACAGTGATGCGGCTTTGTCCTGAAAGTGGAGGTTAAATTGAATTAGCATCTAATTTGAGTGGAGGGGTTGAGATCCAAGCTTGCCTGGAAGATGCCTCTGTCTCATTTAGATCTGCCCACATAGTCCTGGTAGAGGGGGCAGAAGGGTCTCTGCACGTGATCAAGTGCATTCTTGTCTTGCTCATTATATCACATCAACAGTCTCCACCCTGCTACTAAAAATAGATGAGGAGAAGCCTGGATTCTGCTCCAAGGGCTGACCCAGAGTTCCAGCTGGTGCCAACGTCCTCCTTGGTTTCTTTTCTTCCCATTATCACCCCTCCTTGAGTGTCAGGCCTGCCTTTTGATTGCCCGCTGGGTGAGCGAAATAGCCCGAAAGAGGGGGTCTGCCGGCCTGCTCCAGAAGGGCAGAGGGCACCCCTGGCGGGGAAGCGGCAGACATGGGACTGCTCCCCTCTTTGCCTCCCATGGCCTGGCTCTTTTGGATTGCCACGTGAGGAGAGTGGTGACCTCACAACTGCTGCCATGGCAACCCATGATGAAGTCACAAGCAGAGCTGTGCTATAGCAAAGAAGGAAGCGGGGGGGAGAGGAGTGTGAGCCGGCTCCCTGGCTGCTTCACCAAGTATGTTCCCGGAGTTTGATACCGCTCTGCCCTAACACCTCCCCTGCCCGGCCTGGGGTTTCCTGTCTCCCTGCAGGATGCATCCATGCTGGAGGGACTCCTGGGGACCAGCGGGCTGGTGAAGAGCCCACTTTTCCACGGCAGTCCGGAGCCGAGCGAGCAGCCATGCTGGTGAAGGAGTACCGCATCTGTATGCCCCTCACCACCGAAGAGGTAAATCCCGGGCGCTCTCGGTGACGGCTGCCCGGCTGCTGGGGGGGGGGGGGCGGGGGCGGCTTGATTCCATGCAGCCAAACGCGCCCCCAAGCTTTGTCTGGATTCTGGGGAGCTGCTTTGTGAGCTCCCTAGAAATGGGCAACAGGCAGGGATGCAGCCCCCTAGTTTTAAGAAGCCAGGAGCTGGAGGCGCAGGGAGAGGAATTTGGAGTTCAGGGTAGCTCAGAGGTGGGTTTGCACACCTGTGGTCAGGAGACCATGCGTAGGTAAGGCATAGGGCACCTGCCTAGGATTGGCAACTGCGGATTGCCAGAGGGTTTGTCCATAGAGGTCAGGATTGCAGAGGGGATCCAGGAATATTTGGTGCGGGACAGGTAACCCAGAGTCCTCCAGGTGTGTTTTGGACTGCAAGTCCCATAAGCCTCAGCCAGCATACCCAGCGGTTGGGAGTTAAGGGCACTGTAGTCCAAAACAGCTTGGAAGGCCCGTTTGCCTGTTCCTGGTCTAGTGTATGCTTGAAGACTGCTCTGTTGGCAGAGAGTCAGTGACAGACCTGGGCAGAAGGTAAGGCAGGAAAGCCAGCCAGGTGGAGAAGGTGAGCAGAGGTTTCCCTCACCTGGAAAAGCAGGCAAGAGAGCATAGTGGTGCAAAGGATGCCCTCCGGTCTGAAGCAGGACACTGCCTCTTGGCAGACATGGGTGGCCCCACCAAGGCCCAGGGCAGGTAGCCCTTGCGTGAGAAGGTCTCACAGCTGCCTTCCATTTCAAGCCACCAGAGTGGTCTTGTGTTCTTAGGCCTCGCTTCTGGAAAGCCTCCAGCGGCCAGAAAGGAGGACAATAAAACCTGCTTCTCAGTAAAGGTGGACAGAAAGTAGATCTCTAGAAGTTTTGTACTTCTGCTCCTAGCATTCCTGATCATTGGCTGTGTCACGGGGTCTTCGGGGTTTCAAGGCAAGATTTAAGCATAGTTTCCCCCAGTCTCATCCAGTTTTCCATCCAGGGATCTGCGTGGCACAGTTCTCTCTAGTGTGAACCTCTTCAGCACACCCATAAGAGGGAGCTTGTTCCCCCAACATCAGCATCTCCCTGCAAGCAGAAAGCTAACATGCCGATAGGAAAATGGACTTCCTAGCCCTGTGCGAACTTTTCCATAAGCAGTGCCCTTCGAAGCAGGGAGCCTCCACTTTTCTTGAACTGCTGAACTGGCTCTTGGGCCCAGCCAGTCTCCAGATCTCTCCACTTGGAGCCCTTTTCTTTGTCTCCGCACCAGCAGAACATACTAGCTCTCTCTGCCACAGCCTCCGTCTTGTGCCTTTCCGTGCAAGCAGAAGTGATCAATGTGAGATCTTCTCACTGTAGAAAGGTGTGAGTGTTTCCCTGCGGCTGTGTTAATTGCCCAGTTCTGGGGTGTGTGGTTGACGGCTTGTGGTCCTTCTGTTGCTGAACTCAGCGCTGTTTCTGGCGGTTCCAGCCCCGGCAGAACTGAAGCGGTAATTGTTTTTCTGCGTGTGCTAGGCTGGATGATGGGCGTGCATGTGTGTTTCTCAGCGTCAAGCGCGAGGGCTCATTAGGCGAGGGCTATTTTCTTTCCCATGTTAAGTCTCCATAAGGCCAGCCTCCCTTTCAGTATAAATTGGGAGTGGAGCCTGCAGCTTTCCCTGGGGGACCACAGGCTGCGTGGCATAGATGCCCCAGCATCATGGTTATGCCGAGAACTAGTTTGCTGCTGACTGGATGAAAGCTGCTGAGGATGCAGTGGCTGGATTGGGACAAGGCTTTAGAAAAAGTCAGTTCGAGCAACATAGACATACTAGCGGGACAGATCCAACCTAAACAAGCAGTTTTAATCAAAAACTCCTTCGACACTTGCAAGGGAAAATACATTGCCCCAAACAATTTGTGGGGATTCTTTCCGAATTCAGCTTGAAGATATTTAGATGTGTCCTTTCGAAGTCTTGCAGCTATTTTCCCCATTTTTGCTGCTATAGAAATGATGTGGCCCAAGGGCAGTTGGTGGGCAGGTCCTTGGCTCCCGACTGCCTGAAGTTGCCCATGCTGGGTCAGGTGTGATCCTGGGTGCTTTGGCACATCAACACAACGGGGGCACTTTGCAGGTGGTGAGTGTCTTTCCATTGCAAACTGTTATTGATATGGGATAAGATCCAGAAGAGCTTTGCGTGGTTTCGTCACCTGGGCCAAGTAACTGAATTTTCTTTTTCTGTTCTTTCAGATCAGGACTCTCAGATTACAGATAAGTTGTCCAGGTTCTCTGCAGTGGCTTTGTCTGCTGCAGGCTTTTGGTGAAATAGGATTACTAGAACTGGCTAGTAATACTCCAGGATTATGTTTGTCTTTTTCTGAATATTGATATAATTGCATACTTCATGTGCACCGATCGCATCTTTTGGATGCTCACCTTTGAGTGTAATACACTTAGTCTATCTCTCAGTTTGTTGTTGTTGTGGCGTGCCATCAAGTTATCGCTGAATGGAAGTTCTCCTAGACGCCCCATCCATGACATCTCTGCTTAATGGTTCTAAAGTCAAGGCTGGGCCTGCCTTCGTGCAGTCCATCCATCTTGTGTTTGGTCTTCCCTTTCCCCTTCTGCCTCTGGCTTTCCCGAGCCTTATAGTCTTCTCCAGGGGGTCCTGGCTTCTCATGATGTGCCTGAAGGATGGCAGCCTCAGCACAATCATTTTTGCCTCTAGGCAAAGCAAGATCCAGGACCCCCTTGTTTGTCTTTCTGTCAGTCCAGGATATTCCCAAAGCTTCTCCTCCAGCACGATGCTTCCGGTTTCAGATCTCAATTTAGCATCCCGAAAGGAAAGCAGGCACTGTGGTTTGGATGGGATTTTTCCTGGAATGCTCTGGTTGCACAAAGCCCAAGCTTTGATTCCCAGCACTGCAAGTTAACAGGGCTGGAAAGAACTTTTTGGAAGACCTTGGAGAAGGGCTAGCAATCCGAGTAAATCAACCAGATGCCCCCGTCCCAATGTGTTGTACTACAGCTCCCATCATCCCTCATCATAGGCCATGCTGGTTGGGGTGATGGGAGTTGCGGTGCAGTGCACGTAGAGGTTATTGGGTTGGCGAGTGCTGGGTGGCCAGTACCAGGCCCAGATGGACCAGTGGCTGGCTTTGGTGCACCTGCGGACTTCCTGGTGGAACTTGCTCTGGCACCTTTGAAGCGGGCGTGGGCCTTGCGGCAGCGGGCGCAGAGCAGACAGTGCTGCGGCTGCTGCTGATCACAAGGAGCCCAGAGGCCTCCAAAGTGCTCGTCTCCATTTCATCCTCCCCACAACAACCCTGTGGGGAAGGTTGGGCTGAGAGGCAGTGACTGGCCCAGAGTCAGCTAGTGGGTTCCGTGGGGACTGGAATCCCCCAGCCCCCCGTTCAACATTGCAGCCAAAGCACCTCGATGGGTTTCTTCCATTTTGCCCTGCTTTTTCCCAAGATGCACTGCGTGAGTCTCCTTCCTTCCATCTCCTCCCATGTAGTCGCAGTTCTGTGGGGTCCCTTGGCCAGGAGAGGATGGTGCCTCTGTGAATGTCAGGATCAAGTAGGTGTTTGTAGCTGGCTGCACGCGGGGTGAAGAACCCAGCTCTCCTGACTCCCAGGCCTGACTCTGACCACTGCACCACCCAGCTCTCCCCAGCTCCCACGTTATTCTCACAGCAAACCCGGTGAGGTGGGTTCGGCTAAGAGTCGGCAGCTGGCGAAAAGACACCCTGGGAGCTTCCTGGCTGAGTCGCAGTCCAGCACTCTGACCACTGCACAGCACTGCCTTTCACTGTGGATAACGAGCAATACCGAGTGGTAGGACTGGGTGCCAAGGCACGGAATCATTGGGGCCTTGGGGCCTAGGGGGAGGGCGGCCCGCTTGCTGGCTAAGCCACCAGCCAGGGTGCCTCAGCAGCTCTGCTGTGTGTGTGGGGGGGGGGGGTCGTCAGCTTCATAGCGGCCTCCCTGCTCCACACAAGGACTGTCAATCACGCAGCTTCCTGCCTCCTCACGTGAAAGGCCTTAGTTGCCGTGGCAGCCTGCGTCATGGAAACTTCCTCACGCACAGGTCTGTGGAGCGGCAGCAACTAAAGGTATGCCACGGCACTCGGGAGAGTCGGAACGGCTTTCCCTTGGCTGCCCCGCGCGGGCTGTGCGGCCCCCACCCTGGCCGCAGAACGGATGTTGGCAGACTGAACGCACACCCCCACACACGCCACCCCACCGGGAGAATGGGGACCACAGAAGCCAGCCGAGCTCGCCGGCCTGAGCCGTCCTTTCCGCAGAAACAGGAAACAAGCAAAGGCTACGACCTTCCTCAGGGTGGCGTTTTGGACTTCAGTTCCAAACAGCCCCAGCCAGCAAGGCCAGGGATGGAAGAGGATGGGAGTTGCTTGGGTGGGCTGCCTTAAAGGGTCAGAAGCAGCAAGGCTGGGGAGGGGAAACTTTAAGGAGGTGGCGGCACATCAGGGTGTGAACTGGGCCACCTGTTCGGAAGATGGGGCCATTAAAGAGTCAGTGCTGCCTTTGCCCGTGCTGAGTGCTGAGTAAGGGGCAGCTGCAGTTTTGCTTTAATGCTCCACGGTGGTGACCACCTGGCGTTGCTCTCAGGCATTATGGGAAAATAAAGGGTACCAGGGCCCACTGACTAACCCTGTAAGGGGCTCACTCGACAACCTAGTGAGACGCCTTCCTACCAGTCCTGACCTTGTTGCGATTATAGAGGGAACTGCAGGTTCTTGCTGTGCTTGTTCCTTTAAAAGTTGCTAGTCCTCCTTGTTGCTTCGATACTCGAGTGGGACTCTTGGTGGGACTCCTTGGCTAATGCAAACTGCCTTTCGGATCGTCACTTTTTTCCTGCCTTATGCAGGCTGTCTCCTCGTCACGCATTTCCACATCTCACAAGGCAGCGGTGTGCTGTGCAGCTGGGGCTGGCCTCGTGTGTGCAAGTGGAAGCTGCTATGCACAGGCTTGTGCTGTTCCCCCAACTTCCATGGGG